GTCAAAGTGATACAAAAATTATATATATAGTTACGTTTAATCCATTACTGTAGTTGATTTACATTGTTTATCAAAAAACACAACTTTGAGAACTTTCACATTTGTCTGCATGCATACTTGTATTTAGTACAAAAACCAAATTTATACTAATGAAGTCACAGCCCATTTATTAAATAAGCTAATAATTTTCTATAGATTTGATTGGCTATTGTTGCTTGATGTCGGCCGGTTTCGATAAACTTGCCTGGAATTACTGGGATTGTAAAAAAAAAAAAATCTATATCGTGGGATAATAATATATTTGCTGAATTTGTCGATGAATTGAATCAAAATTAATTAGACAGAAGATAAATTTTATATAAATTACGTTAATGACAGTTGATAAAGATAGAAAAATTTACAACAAAATTAAGCTACAAACGTTGAATAGTAATTGCAAGGCGGTGTTTCGTAAAGATAGTCAACACTAATGTACTTTATTTTATAAAAAGGCTACTTAAAAGTAATAAATATGATTTATTATCTGAGCTTTCTTAAATAATGTATTTAGCATAGATATATTTAATCAGATATTTTCATCGTAGGACTTTTTAAGCATGTTAATATTCATTCTTACAACCTTTTTTTGTAATTTCATTAAAGCGAACTTATTAAAAAAATAAAATATTGATTAAAATTTTGTCATAAAATTTTTACATATGTGATCCAGGATTTAAATATAATAAAGATACTTGAGCGAAATCCAAATACAAGGAGTCGTACAATACATGCACAGAAAAGATATTAACCTTATGATTCTCTTAATGCACATATATAAGAGATTAAATTAAGCGTGGACATTTAGACGTGACTAACTGCTAGTATTAAGTACAATAATATCTAATGACAAATTAATATAGTCATCATGTAATTATCTTACAAATCTAAACCTGTTCTTCACAACACAAGTAAGGATAGTAAAAAAACGGTTTAAACAGTTTTTTAGACTTTTTTTTTATTGGTTTAAAAAAAAATTTCAAACTATCGGCGGCTGATGTTAATATATAGCTGAAATTGAAACTACCGCTTTAAATTGGTTAATTTCAGTTTCAGAAAAAATGCATTACTTTATAATTTCGAATTCCTTACTAGAGGTCGGAACCGGTTAGTATAATTCGGGTATAAATTCGGGTTAACCCGGTTTTAATAGTAACTCGATTTAATAGCAACCGGTTTTAATAGTAAAACGTTTTTATAGTAAATACTCTCTAATTTGGTTGTAAAACTCTGATAAACCGGGTTTAAATTCGGGTTTATTATGAAAAATCTATGTTTCGCAAAATCAAATTTAGAATCGGCTTAAAGCCAGCTCAATTCGGTTTTTTAATTTCAAACCGGTTCCGACCTCTATTCCTTACAAACATCGCCGTTACATGTAAGAGTTATAGGAAATGTATTTAGCTGATTGAATTTTTTATAGTTATCGTGCACGAAGTGCACAATAACTAGTTATTATACACTTTGTGCATGATAACTATATTATCGTTTAGGTCCTATATAACTGTTACTGACGTCAAATAAACTTTTTGTTTTGATATTTAAACTATTTTATCAGAATTTTTTTTGTTTTGATATTTAAACTATTTTATCAGAATTTTTTTTATTTTAATTTCTTTCTTATTTGAATTTAAAATATGACTACTAAAATTTGCACGAAGAAGCTGATCGTTTAAAAAATTTATCTTATATTGCTAACACTGAAAAAAATACAGCTAAATGGCTCCATCATGTTGATAGATATCGTCAAGAAAATAATATTAATAAGTCAATTAATCAAATTGACAACAAAGAAGAACTCGATGAATTTTTAAGTTTGTTTATCACATGGCTTACAAAAATTAATAGCAAACCATTTAAAGTCGAATCTATTCACAACTGTTATGCTGCATTGGCACGTTACTTGCATGCAAATTCTTCTATTCTGGGTAATGTTAACATTTGGGATAAATATATATTTTCAAGAGCAATTCGAGTATTAGATGGCAAAATGAGATTGTTACAGGATGAAGGTTACGGGGATACAGAGAAAAGTAATTCGCTAACACCTGATGAAATAATTTCTTGCTTGAATCATGAGTATTTATCAATAAATAATAATGAAGGTCTACTTTACTGAGTTTTTTTTGGCTTTCATTATTATGTGGGTTATGAAAAGGTGACACATATAAATTACAATTTCGGGATATTGAAAAGCGAGTTGATAGTGGATTGCAATTGTGATTGCAGAAGGAAAAGAACAATCAAGGTGGTGTATTCTATTGACAACGATATGGTCGTACCAACACTCGATCTATTCCGATTCCAGCAGACAATCTTACAAATCAATTTACACCTATAAAAAACATATTACTTTATTTATCAAAATGTCCTTCTGAATGTAAACCAACTGATGCACTATTTTTAGAATGTATTAGAAAACAATCAGGTATATAATTTAATAATTATGTACATATGTACGTACTAACATATGGTATTTATTTACTTTTATTATTGTTATACGTATTATAATAGAATTAAAAAAGAGATTGATGTACAAGCCATCCAAAATGGAAGAAAAAAAACTTAAAAAAATGTTAAACGAAATTACAGTTAATACCGGTATTGATCTTGCTGATGGACAAAAAATTACTAATCATAGTGCAAGATGTACAGCAATCACAATACTTAAACGATCTAATGTTCCTGAAGATGAGGCAATGTTGTTTTTCGGTCATAGATTTCGAGAAGGAATTCGTGCATATAGTGATCCATCATATGATCAAAGACTTGCATCCATGGCATTATTAATTCCATTTACATCACAAGAACAAGATTTAAACGAGTTTGATAATCAACTAGAATTTAAGTTATACATATTAAATAACTATTTTAAATATATATGCATATCGATATACTAATAATTTATTTATTTTAGCTTCAAATTTAAATATCGATGTATCAAATTCACAAAATTCTGATATGGAAGATCTTTATGATTCAACAATTGAAATATTACAAGATTCTCAAGATTTAACCAAAGTATTAAATTTACAAAATTCTATTCAAAAAGGCACTTAAAGTATTTTATTTTAAATAAATAGTTTATATAATAACAATTTTTTTTTTTTTTTTACAAGAAAATAATGATTTCAAAATGAAAAAAGTTATGCTACAAAAGAAAAAACTTACTATTCCATACATTGACAATTTAAATTCCAAAGTTTTTAAACCATTTAAAATTCCTACGAATGATCCTGAAAAAATTAAACTATACAAACATCACCCGAAAAAGCCATTGAAGAAAGCTACAAATAATATCATAATTCAACTTCCCGAAAGTGACAAACTACTCAACATTATTTTGAATCTTTCACTTAATAATTAATTGATTTTCTCTGCTAGTGAATTTATATAAATTCATATATTTGTAATATTTAAATAAATGCAGTGAATTATAAAGTCTTTAAATGTTAAAACAAAAATATAAATTGCAAAATTTACTTATCCGGGCAATTTACTATTAAAATCATATGATTTTAATAGTAAAATGCCCAAATAAGTAAACAAAAAAAGTGTCGGTTGTTACATAGGACCTGAATGATAATTCATTGGTTTTAGGACTACCATATGTTGCAGCAATATTTTGGACTATCCAAAACGCATGTAAGGCCTTGGCAACTTGAAAATTCCAAGTAGAATTACCTGCAATACCAATAAAGCCCACTGAGCAATGCCGAGTAAAATACCGAGCTAAGTTATTTTTAGCAAAACTCGGCGCTGCATTACTCAATAACTTACATATTAACTAAAAATAAAATACATATCATTGTGTAGCTTATGTGATGATCTACAAGGCTAATTATAGCATTTAGACGTTTAGAAGCCTCCTTGAATGTGTTGTCCTATGACTAACTAAAAATAACTATAATAAAATATAAGAAAAACTTAGAAAAAATATTAAATACTCAAAATAATAATAATCAAGAATAATAAGAAACAAGTATAAACTAATAAAGAAATTAACTAATATTCACCACAGGTGATTATCACCTGTTTATTTTATATGCAAGATTTGATGCGGGTATGCGGGTAATATGCAATTTTTATTTATCCGATTCAAACAAATGATGTAATTGTTTCGTTCTATTTAAGTAAATAAATAGTGTGATCTAAGAGTGATTGATCCTTTTTCCTATTCAAACGATCATTCAAATGATCGTTCAAAAAGTTTCTTTTCGTCTTTTTCATTGTACAACAGACACCTTAGGCTTTTCATATATAACGAGAACTTTAGAGTTTTTTTTGCTTGTGCCAGAAATATCTTGGATTCTTCTTTCGCTCATGCTATAATTTCTTGAAGTCTTTTTTTGCTTGGATTCTTTTTTCGCTTAATACCTTGGAGTCTTTTTTCACTTGTGCTATAAAATCCTCTGAAGTTTTTTTTCGTTAGTGCTATAAATTTCTGAATAAATAGCATGATCTAAGAGTGATCGATCTTTTTTCCGATCGTTCAAAAAGCTTCTTTTCATCTTTTTCATTGTACAACAAACACCTTAGGCTTTTCGTGTATAACAAGTACTTTAGAGTTTTTTTTCGCTTGTGCCAGAAATTTCTTGAATTCTTCTTTCACTTGTTCCATAATCTCTTAAAGTCTTCTTTCGCTTGTGCTAAAAATACCTTGAAGTTTTTTTTCGCTTGGATTCTTCTTTCGCTTAATACCTTGGAGTCTTTTTTCGCTTGTGCTATAAATCCTCTGAAATTTTTTTCGCTAGTGCTATAAATTCCTGAGTTTTCTTTCGCTTGTACTATAAATTCTTCGGGTCTTCTTTGCTTGTACAAGAAATTTATTTGAGAGTCTGTTTTGTTTGTAAAACAAAATAACTTCGTCTCGTGGAAAGTAGTAATAAAAGGAAGTGATTTGCTTGTTAATTAAAGAGTTGAAAAGAGTAAACGCAATGAAAAAACATTCAATTTACTACACGATGACACCGCCTAACTCTATGATGCAAAGTTTCACAAGGTTAGTGAGGTGCCTTCTTGATAGTTGCATGTTAAAATAACTCTAACTCATTTCTTTCTTTTTTTTTAATTTTCACCAAGTAATTCTTTCATGGAACTTGAAGCTGATTTCAATTTGGCGCAAAATCAAATTTTTAGAAGGTTAGTGAGGAAACTGTGACTAGGCGTTAAAAATAACTTCTAACTGGATTACACTTTTTTTTTTGTTACCAAGTAATCTCATGACAAACAATGAATATAGATTAATAAGGAAATTATAGCTGTGTATTAAGGTGATTTTTAACTGATTTTTTTTTCCATTAATTGCCAAATAGCTTCATAACAGAACCTGAAACCAATTCCAATTTGATGCAGAGCTAAAATTTCCGAAGATTAGTATTTAGTTCATTAAATATTAGTGCTTTTAACTTTAGTTACAAGAAAGCAATAATTTGATGTTTTATTTGCAATTATCAAATTGTAGTTCAGAAAATGAAATGTATGATTTGACAAACGAAGAGTCGCAAGAAGATGCTAATATTAGTTTGGATAATAAAATGAAGTAGGTAATTTACTTATTTAGTGTTTCAGTTGCATATGTTCGCAGCATTAACTTTTTTTAGTAGTTCGCAAAATACCTCAGATAATGAAGAATTACATGAAGGTCCTTTATGATTATACTTTGGCCTTAATTTTGATATGTGGGATGAAGTAGATAAATTTGTTGAATCATATGCAAGGCTTAAAGGATTTTCGACGAAATAGGAATGACCTTTATTTAGACAATTTAAGCATTTGTCATCGTAGTTTTGAATATTCTCAATCACGTGCACATAAAGCCAAAAAAGTAATTGACATTACCAAGCAGCGTGAACGTAATTCAGCAGCAATTAATTGCCAGTGGCACGTGAATTTTAACAAACGTAAGGATGCTACTAAAATAGTTTGTATCTCTTTTGTTAACGAACACAACCACGAAATGAATCCCGTAATTGTTCAAATGGCACCATGTTTTCGAAAATTGTCAAAGGAAATGTTAGAGGATATAGAGTTTTACACACATTCTATGAAAGGTTTAGGAGCAAAAATTCAGTATAGTCTTTTAAGTGCTAAGTACCCAAATAAGTATATAGACAAGAAAGACTTGTATAATGCTATTCAACGGTTTAGAATCCCTTCACGTGATAAATTAAAAACTGATGCCACAGAAGCCTTGCAACAATTAATAGCTTTAAAGGCTAAAAATTCTGAATGGGTAGTTGTGCCCAATATTGGTGACAGAAATAGATTGACGGTGCTTTTTTGGATGTCCCCTCTACAAGTTTCACTATGGGCACAATTCCATGATATTGTAATAACTGATAACACTTGCAAGACCAATTGTTATGAAATGCCATTATGCCTTTTTTTAATTGTAGATAATAATACTTGTTCACGTATCATTGCACAGGCATTATTGGAAGACGAAACGCAGGCTTCTTTTGAATGGTTATTATTCATCTTTTTTTTATTCATCCTTACTTTTTAATGTGGCATTCTTTATATATATATATATATTTTTTTGCATTACCATTATTTTTTCTTTTATATTAATGGTATTACAATTTTAGGGTTCTAGAGCAGTTGAACATTGCGACAAATCAGATGATTTCCAAGACTATCTATACAGATGCAGACCCAGCCATGGGTGCAGCTTTGCGATGTATATAGCCAAACACGCACCATTCTTACTGCATTTTTCATTTAAACAATAATTTTATCAAGAAACTAAGGCCTATCATGGGAAAAAGCTTTGATGAATGTTTTAAGCTTTTTTATTGTTCTCGTAATAGTTTATGTGAAATTGATTTTGAGCGTCGTTGGATGCGGTTTGTTGAGTTTCTCAGATCATTCTCTAAGGCATCTAGATATGCACTCGAAACACTTTATCCTTCACGTTATAGCTGGGCACTTTGCTACACACAAACATGGTTTACTGCCGGCATTCAAAGCACCCAACGTGTAGAAAGTATGAATGCAATTATTAAAAAGGAAGTTTCACATAATTCAACTTTATTACACCTGGTTGATGCTATACAAAATCGTTTAAATGAAGAGGCGCGATATGCACGAATAAATGAACAACAGAACATGAATCCATCCATAGGCCTGTCTCATGTTGTAACAAAATACTTTCCTGTCATCGATTCTTTAATTCGAGAATACTTGACTCCGCATGTTCTCTCTCTCCAACGACAACAACTTTTCGAATGTTTCTTGTATGATGCTACTGAAATTTCTTACGACTAGGATCAGTTTCCGCAAGAACCTGAAAACATTGTTGAAAATGGGTGTCTCGAAGATGATTATGAACGGCATCAAATAGGTCTTAAGTCATTATTACAAACTTTGGAACGTGATATTGTTGTACAAATTTGGATAGTAGTGCCGCAAGGATTGTTTCAAGGTCATTTTACTAATTACATTGTAATACTTGCGGATGGCACGCATTTATACACTTGCCTTACCTTAGTTAGCAAAGGAATCGTCTGCTGTCATTTTATGAAAGTCTTAATGAAATCACATCTTGCTAGATTTCATATTTTTTTGATATCCAGTCGGTGGTACAAGACTGACAAGATAAATGAAAATAAAAATCTAATTGCTTCTCTCCCACCAATCAACTTATATGAATCTAATCAACCTTCGGCAACAAATGTCACTTCACATATTATCGATTTTCAATACCTTTCTCGATTTCGTGTTGCTAATGTATTTACACCCGCTTTACAAAAATCTGTTAGCGAAAAAACGCGTTGGTCTAAGGGGCATGAATTAACAAAAAAAGCACTTAACCTAACGTTACGGCTTAACTGTGATGATGAATTTAATCAGATGATGGAGAAGTTTATTTTATCCAAGAAACATGAATTACAACTTTTAG